CAGTTTTTTTTCTATTGGGACCCAATAATTGATTAATTAACACTACCTGCTGGCTATAAAGTTTAACCTTGAAAATCCTGCTATATTTATTTTTCTAAGAATGATATTGTGGCATTTGGGGTACCTGCATTTTATAACACCTTAATTAAACTTTTGTTCCTTATATTATCTCAGATGGTGATTTATTTTTTAAATTGCTGGTATTTCAGATTCCACTTGGATTCAGGGGGAAGGGAGGTCCTCATGCTGTGTTCTGTCAGGCTCTTAAAAAAGCACCAGAAATAAAATGTCTGCATTTGATGTTTATAGTTAATTATGTCAGTGACGCATAATCTGGAATCAAATTTAGTTTTGCTTTCTATGGCTGTTTTGGCAGTCCTGTGAGTGGCTAGAGTGGAAGATTTGGTCTTGGCAGAAAAATAACTGCTGTGACTCAGAGCTCCAAAGGGACAGGTGATTGATTAAAAGATCCTATTTTAAAATGAGCTGGGTTTTACCAGGACTGGCTTATGCAAGCATCTCAGCCAGCAACCTCCTGTCAGTCAGCTTGCTAGACAGGGCACGCAGAGACCTTGGGCTACATGAAGTTTCAGCTTCCGATGCAGCCTCATCCTCATTCCAACCCAGAGTCAGCCTCCAGAGACCTTTAAGACAGCACCCCTCAGTACCCCACAGGAACTTGTAGTTATGCCAGGTAAAAATAATTTCAAGAGGCTGTGAGGATATGGTTCAAGCATATAGGTGGCTGGAGTCCACTCTGACCCAAAGAGAGAATTTGGGGTACCCAAAGAGATAAAAATTTCATGGACTTCAGAGTATCCTGTAAACATTTTCAGGTTGGTTTTTCATTTTTGAAATTTTTATTTTTCAATTACAGTTTACATAGAGTGTTATATTAGTTTCAGGTGTATAACCCAGTGATCAAACATTTATATAACTTATGAAATGACCACTCTGATAAATCTCGTACCCATCTGACCCCATACACAGTTATTACAATATTATTTACTATATTTCCTATGTTGTACTTGACATCCATGACTATTCTGTAACTACCGATTTGTACTTCTTTTTTTTTATGTTTACCAGTTTATTAAAGGATATGGTAAAGGATGAAGGTGAACAGCCAAATAAAGACACATAGGGCAGGGTCTAGGAGGATCCTGAATGCAGGAGCTTCTGTCTCCGTGGAGTTGGGGGGTGTCAACCAGTGTGGATGCACTCACCAGCCTGGAAACTCTCCAAGCCCCCTACTGTTGGGATTTTAGGGATGCTCCCTCACAGAGGCATGATCAATTGTTCACTTCACTTCCAGTCCCTCTCCCCTGTCTGGAGGATGAAGGGTGTGGCTGGAAATTCCCAGCTGCTTCTTCATTTTTGCTTTCCTTAGGAATTAAATTTCTCTTTACTTTAGATAGAACAAAAATTGAAGACTCAGTAAATTTGGTTTTTATGAAACCAAACCTTTCCTAATTATTGTAAGCCACAATGTCTTTCTCTTCACTGCCTTCTAGAATATATACTATATGGAAAATTTTCACTTATTTTGCACTTCTCATAGTCAGTGAAAGCTTATTATTTAATATTTCATTTTGTTAAGTCTTGCTTCTACTCTACATGACCTGTAAGCTACTGATGGAAAATAATTATAATAATCATAGCTGGTAATAATTTGAGAGGTTACTGTATACAAGGTGTATTAGGCAGGATGGACTAGGTTATGCTGCAATATCAAATGACCTCGAAATCTTGGTGGCTTAACATAACACAGTTCTTTTTTTCCTTGCTCATTGTAAGTGTCCCTTGGAGTCATCAGGCAGCCTCTGCTCCATGTAGACTCTCAGGATCTAGACTGACAGAGGCTCTGTTATGACCTGTGCTCCTACAGTCTTCCCAGCACAGTAAGGGGATGTGACAAATTGCACACCACCTCTTTTTTAATTTTTATTTTTATGAATTTATTGGGATGACATTGGTTAATAAAATTATACAAGTTTCAAGTGTACAGTTCTATATAATACATCATCTGTATATTGTATTGTGTGTTCACAACCCCAAGTCAAGTCTTTATCCATTACTATTTATCTCCCCTTTACCCCTTTCTACCTCCCTTCAACCTCCCTTCATTCCCCTTTCCCTCAATTAGATTAATCACCCTACTTTTGTCTGTGTCTGTTTTGTTTGTTTGTTTTTGCTAATCCCTTCAACTTTTTCACCCATCACCCTAACTTTTCCTATCTGGCAACTGTCAAAATGTTCTTTTTGTCAATGAGTCTGTTTCTGATCTGCTTGTTTGTTTTTGTTTTTTAGATTCCACACGTAAGTGAAATCACATGGTATTTTTCTGACTTACTTCACTCAACACAATACCCTCTAGGTCCATCCATGCTGTTGCAGATGGCAAGATTTCATTCTTTTTTTTTTTTTTTTAATGGCTGAGTGATATTCCATTGTATTTATGCACCACTTCTTTATCCATTCATCTATTGATAGGCTGCTTCCATATCTTGGCTATTGTAAATAATGCTCCTATGAACATATGGATGCATAAGTCTTTTGATTTGGTGTTTCGAGTTTCTTCTGATAAATACCCAGAAGTGGAATTGCTGGATCCTTTTTTGTCTCTTCTTATAGCCTGTGTTTTAAAGTCTATTTTGTCTGGTATAAGTGTTGCTACCACAGCTTTTTTTTTTTTTTTTTTTTCCCAATGAAATAGCTTTATCCATCCCTTACTTTCTGTCTGTGTATCTTTTTATCTGAACCAAGTCTCTTGTAAGCAGTATACAATATATAAGGGTCTTGTTTTGTTATTCATTCAACTACCATATCTTTTTTTTTAAAAAATATTTCTATTGGTTTTCAGAGAGAGAGGAAGGGAGAGGGAGAGAGAAAGAGAAACATCATTATGAGAGCAGGACATCAATTGGCTACCTCCTGCATACCCGGGATCAAGCCTGAAATTTGGGCATGAGCCCTGACCAGGAATTGAAGCGGCGACCTTTTCTATCCAGGATCTGTCATTATTTTTTTTTTAAAGTTTTCAATTCCTTGCTATTTTTCTAAAGAGATTTTCAATTCCTTGCTATCTGTTTTCTCCTGTCAATGTCATGATGCAAACATTTGTATGCTTGAAGTCTCAGAGGGTGTTTATACCATTCCCATTTTTTAAGATGCTTTTTTCTTTTTGCTGTGCTGTTCTGATTGGGTGTTTTATGCTTCCTTATCTTCCAAATTGCTGGTTTGATCCTCTGCTTTTATCTAATGCACTATTGATTCCTGCAGTGTATTCTTCATTTTAGTCAGTATATTTTTCATTTGTGACTGGTTCTTTTTTATATTTTCTTTATCCATTTTTATGTTTCCTGTCTGATTGCTGAAGTTCTCACTAAGTTCATTTACTCTTCCCTAAGTTCATCAAGCATCCTTATAGTCAATGTTTTGAACTCTGCATCTGGTCAATTGCTTGTCTCCATTTTATTTATTAAAACTCTCCATTGAGGGTTCTGGGTGGAAGAGGTCAATGGGGGGAAAAGGGGGCATCTGTAATATTTTGAATAAATAAATAAATTAATTAATTAATTAATTAATAATTTTTAAAAACCTCTCCATTAATCTTTAGAGAGAGAGAGAAAGGGAGAGGGAGTAAGAGAGCGAAACATTGATGTGAGAGTGAAACACTGATTGGCTGCCTCCTGCACACCACCTACTGGGCATCAGGCCCTCAACTGGGTATGTGCCCTGACCAGGAATCGAACCAGCAATCCTTCAGTGCATGGGATGATACCCAACCAACTGAGCCACACTGGCCAGGGGTACAGCAGCCTGTCTGCATTTTATATAGTTCTTTTTCTGGAGTTTTGTTCTGTTCTTTCATTTAGGACAAGTTTCTTTATCTTCTCATTTTGGCAGCCTCCCAGTGTTTATTTTTATATATTAGGTAGAGCTACTACGTCTGCCAGTCTTCATAAAGTGGCCTTATGTAGTAGGTATCCTGTAGGCTCAGTGGCACAGCCTCCTCAGTCAGCCTAGCTGGGCATTTCAGGTGCACACCCCCATCCCCCTTGTGTGCTGTGTGTGCCCTCCTATGTAGTTGGGCCTTGATTGCTGTTGACACGTCAGTGTAGCCTGGAGTGACTACGGTGGGCTGAGGAGAAAGCCCAGGATACAGAGCTGCTGTACATGTGTCAGCATTTGCTGCTCTGTTAGGAGATGTTGCTGCCATCTTACCTCTTGAGATCAGCATCTCCAGCTAGGCCTGTAATCACCTCTTTTCCATCAGAGCCCAAAGCCAAAGAGAGGTCAATAAGAGTTTCTAATTATTCTTGCCAGCCTTTTGACAAGGTGGTAGGTACTTGGTAAGTGGGGTAGGTTTACCTTCATGCTCCTGTGGATGGTGACCCAAGACATGCAGTGCATTAGAAGGGAGCTGGCATAAATAGTTGATGGAATGTTCAGCAAAGAAACAATTTTGTATATACAAAGACATAATGCCCTTTGAAAAGTTGTATAGAGAATGTTTGGATTTACCCACCTTAGATGATAGCCCAAAGAAGGATTTTACTTAAAATGAAAGCTGAAAGTTTTGACAAAGATAAGAATTTGTTAGTTACAACTACTTGAAGGCTTTACCATGTGCTTTGATTTTAGCCTATTAGATGAGCTCTAAGAGGAGATTTTGCTGAGTCACTCAGAAGCAAAGTGAGACCCATAGGCCCGTGAGCTGGGGATCAAGGAAAGAGCTGAAGGGCAGGGCAACCTGCCAGAGTGTGCAATGTGTGTGTGTGTGTGTGTGTGTGTGTCCAGTGCATGTCGAGGTTGAATGTAGGGTTATGAAATGGCTGAGAACTGGCCATTTTAGGAAGAATGCTATTATTCATTCTTCTATTATGCTGCTATACTCCTATGCTATTCTATTCTAATATGCTGTTACGATTTTTCTACCAAATCATCTCTTTTAGTGTTGAACAGCATGAAGTAACTTCTGCTTTTTCCTCTTTTAGACCACTGCTGTTCCAGACAAGTGAACATGTGGCCAGTAGTCCTGCACTGGGGGACATTATTCCATTCAGCATCATTATTCAGTTTTTGTTCACAAGAGCACCTGCTGAGCTGAAATCCCCCTTCCAGGTAATAAAGTGAAGCCACAACCCTGTTATGAGTCTTCCCACTTCACTCTGTGACTACAGAGCCCCGTTCACGGAATGCATTCCGGGCCCTCTCTTTGTCCTATTTAGTCTGGATTTCTGTCTTAGCAGCGAATCACTAAGGAAAAAAAATTTCCATTGCCCTGCAGTGTAAGAATTACCTGATGAATCCAGAATTAGCCCTTTAAATAATAATGACACAAGTAATTTATGTTCATAAAGCTTTTTTGATAGAGGCCCATTTCCTTTGCTGACCCATCTTCAGCTGGTAAATCCACAAGGCTCCTTGGGAGCTAGGAAGACGCACCAAGGGCTATGCCACCTTCCCTCAGGCAGGGATTGGAGGTTATTTCACACTGGAAATCCTTGAGAGCACTTTTTGAACAAGCACTTGCGCCGTTCACTGAAGCATGTGTATGCACTTCTCTAATTGTGTTTCAACCCTTCAGAGGGCAGAATGGTCCCATGCACGCTTCTCCCAGTGGCTGGATGACCACCCATCTGAAAAAGACAGGCTTCTTCTCATCAGGTAAAGTCATGTGTTCCAGGGGCACCTGTCTCTTCTAGAAACCCAGGGAGAGTAGAAAGACTGAGGGAAGAGGAAGGAACAGTTCCTGGGTGGATGTGTACACGTGGTGGCACCTCCTAGTGGCAGGCCACATCACTGCATGGGCACCTGACAGAACCAGGGGACACAGCCATTTTTGCTTTCCGGTTCCTTCACTTCCAAATCTTCATATCCCTTTTGTGCTGTCCCATGCCTGATGCAGCCCTAAGAACTATGCTCTTCTGGTTTTGAAAACCAGCTTCAGCTATGAAAAAAATCCTTCCTTAGCTCCTCATTTTCTGCTTCATTTTCATGTGTTGCAGTTATTGAATTGGTGGAGCACAGATGTGAGTAAACTTTTAAAAATACTCAACTATGATGCAGTTATTAGTAGAAAATAAGGACAACCTAGCAGCTATTTAGATACCATGTGCCCTCCAGTAGTGCCCCACAAATGTGTCTGTGCACATACACACGTGCACAGGCACAGACACAGACACACCCCTTCCATCCAGCCATGCCCAGGGTAGGATGCTTTAACTGTCACATGACTATTAAGCATCTCTAGTCCATCAGCATTCTCCTCTGAAGTTGTTCTCACCACAATCTCCGGAGACCTTTTAGCCCCCAAACCCAAGCATTTCTGTTCTTAAGCTCTGTACCGTTGGCTAGAGTTGACAGCTGCTTCCTTCTTGAAACTCCTCATTGACTGGCTGACTGAACACATTTTTCTTGATGCTTACTGTATGCTAGGCCCTGAGGACACAAAGCAAACAGAGACACAGCCCTTCCTTTTCGGAGCTTCCATGACACCATGGTCATCTGTTTCTGTTGTAAGCTTTCTGGCCATTCTTTTCCTCAGCCTCATTTGCTGAGTTGCCTGCTGTCCACTGATTAAATGCCATCATTTCCCACAGTTTGTTCCTGGCTCATTTTCCTTCACATTCTATCTGTACTTTGGTCCCCAAGTGGGCTCATCCAGACCCATGACGCTAATGACCTCTTCTGTCCCGATGGCTTCCAGGTCTGTGACTCACCTTGATTGCCTAGGGCCTCAGGCCAGCAGATTTGCTGTCATATGTCACCACTCAAAGTTCCACAGAAGTCTCGACCCCAAAATATTAAAAATAAATCATCTTTCCTCTCAGCTCTACTTTTTGCTCTAGACTCCATGTCTTGGATAAAGTGTCACCATCATTTACCCAGCAAGCTAGAACCTTTAAGTCATCATTCAGCTCATCACCCACGTCCTCCAAATCCAGTCAGTTGTACCTCTTAAATAGCTCTTGAAACCATTCTCAGTTCCCCCAGAGGATCCTGATGATGTTGATCTGGAGATCACAGCCCCCAACAAGGCTTTCTTGAGCCTAAGTGCAGGTAATGAATTGGGTTCCCCAAAGCCAATATGGTGATGTGCTATCAACCATGTTTGCACTCTGGAATCGCTTATAGAGCTTTGGAAAATCCTGGTGTTCAGACTACCTAAGAATCTCTCGAGCTGGGACCTGGTATAGGATTTCTTATAGCTGCCCAGGCAGCTCTACAGCACAGCCAAGGCTGAGACCCACTGCCCTGGTGTCAGGTGAGAGTCCACCAAGGAGGGATGCTATGAGACGTCATTGAGGAACACCAGCCCAGCTTCAGGGAGTGGCACTGAGCTCTCAGGTTTGGTACCCAGAGCCCACCTGAGCCACTCACTCTCCATGCGCCTCTGTGAATAAAAAGTAGATTAGCCCCCCTGCTTATCTCTTACTCTTCTCAGCTATGAGCATCTAAAAAGTAAATTAGCCCTCGTCCTTGCTTATCTCTTACACTTCTCAACTATGAACGTCTGACCAAGAAATGGGAAAGGATGCCAAGTGAGACTTCCAGCAGTTCATGAGACTGGTTAAAACTGCCCTCAGAAAAGGCATTTGGGCCTCGGCTAACTCAGGGATTTGCAATGTCTTTGTGGATTTTTTATTCTGAGTCCCAAAGACTCACTCAGCTGCCACCCACTTGGTAATAGAAGAGTATTTAGAATTCAGTAAATTGAACAGGGTTCATTTTTGTCTTGTTAACAAGTTGGAATGAGTTCATCCACAACAGTTGTCCTGCTGTGGACACAGCACACATCCTTTTTCTTTGCTTTTTTTAAAAAACGTATCCTGGGTGATTTCATCAGCAGTGCTGTTGCTAAACCTATGTTTAGCAACTGAAAATCATGCTAAGAAATAATGTCATGCTTTTTAAATAAGATCTATCCATCATTCCACACATGTCTGATATCAGAATCTTTATGCTCTGAGCAGCATATCGAGCCCTCCCTGGGGGATTCCAAAACAGCATGCTCTTGCTGCCACCCAGGCCGCTGGCAAGGCAGGGAGCTTTGTCCTCTAAGCATGTTCTCTCTTCTCTGTTACTGCAAACTGATTTTGTCCCCACGTGCTAGAGCACCACTGGATGAATTTCTTTCCCCTATAAATAAGCCCAGGGTGAGTGTTACTCTTTAAATGTCAGTAAATCTGTTTTAGCTTTTGGGGCAAACCTTGTTATATACTCTCCTGTCCCTTCTAGCACAGTACATTAGGTTGTCATAAACTAGGGCAAGTTGAGGATAGGGGACAACTGCTGCTGAGTAAATGGCAAGTGATGAATTCTCTCTGCCTTCCTTTCTGTTTCCTTTTGACACCAGATGTTTCTGTAGAGCTTGAGTGGACACTTGTCAAGTTAATTTTAAAATTAGAGTAACCGCTGACTCAAGGGCCAAGTGGTGTAAGTGGGGAAAATTGTATCTACTCAGCTCCCACCAGTTAGGTACTCCAGACTTGTCTGCCCTCGGGTACGGAGGCTGCACCCTGGGGGAAGACCTGTGGGTCTGTAACCGTTGACTGTGTTTTCAGTAAAGATGAAGACTGAGTTTTTGATGAAAAGATTTCTAAAGCTCTGCAGAAGTGGTAGGATTGGCCTCAAGCCCATTTATTTTTGATGTTTGTAATGGAGCAGCAACTCTCTCTTACTGTGACCCTCTTGTCCTTTGCTTTTCCTTAGTCTAAGTAAAACACCTTTATGACGTCAAAAAATGTTTACAGACTATTTGCCTATTGGTATTTTTTATCTATACAATTATCATACAATTTTCAGTACAGATGCATCTTTGGACCCCTTGCCCTCTTACCCTGGCCCAGGTCCCACAAGCTAGGAACCGTTCCCTCAACTCCTGTCCTTCGGATCCCTGCAGATGGAGGGTAATGGTTGGTCTCTCCTGCTGGTGTCCCTATGGCACTAGATGTCTGCCAGTTCTGGGGACTGGGTGCCTGAGATGAGTCCAGAAGGGAGGATGGAGGCAGGGAAATCCAGTGTTTACCTGTCTACAAAGACATGAGGTAGATCCTGAAGTCATTTATGTATTTCAGTACTAAGTATGCTGATACTTACTCCCTGACAGAAATCAACTTTGTGCTCCATAAAAGCCTCCCCTTGGCTAGTTTATATCACATTGAGCAGTTTTGCCATGTTACAAACTATTCCTTTACTAGTTGTTTGCACAATTCCTGTACTAATTTTTTTCAGTAAGTGTACTAATAATTCTTTTTGGTTACAAACCAGAATTAGGACTAGTTCTTACTTTCAAGAAAGCTGAGGTTTTGCTCAAGCAAATGAAGTATTTAAGAATTGCTTGAAAATCTCGCTCTGATTTTATGTGTGAGGGCAGCTTTAACCTGTTTTTTCTCTCCATAGTTCTGATGGTGTTTTTGATGAATACCAGGAAAACTAGCCAAACTCATTTCTGAACTTTCTTCTACATATTGTGTAGTTCATATGTCTCATACGTTTGAATGCACATGAAACTACTATATTGATTATATTGATTTTTGTACTGTGTTAAAATGGATCTATCCATTCACTAAAGAACAATTACAGTTTCTGAGAATTTCAGTGTAGAAATGTCTTAGACTGATAGACACTCTGTATCCCCCAAAAGTATATACACACTTTGAATAATTATAAAGGCAGAATACATTTCACTTTCAAAATGTAATAGAATCTACAGCTACCAGCTGTTAAAGTGTGTATACATTTTTTTGGGATACCCTCTATACACACATACACACACACACACACACACACACATATTATTGTCTCAAAGACACTTGGGGCCCTTGGGGGTTTTTCACTGTGCATAAATCTCCAGGGACTACATTTTGGGAGTAGGGCAATTGCCCAGTATGCCATAGCAACTTGAAAATTACTAAAAGAAGCACTTTTTCCCCCCCATAAAGAAGTTGCTTCATTAAGGCCCAACTCTGACATGAACTCAGGCATCTCACAAAACTATTCTTGAAGAACATTAAATTCCATTTTGCATGCCTTTGCTGCTTTCGAGGACCCCAACAATCATGTTTTCTCTTTTACTTTCTTCTGCACTTCTATTTTCCTTTTTATTATAGTTCTATCTCCCTGTATTTCTAATTCATTTTTTAATTCATTCATCATGCATTTGTTAAGCACTAGGTCCTGGGTTACATAAATGAATAAAATGGCTCCAAACCTCAAACTGACCAATGAACAGGTAACACTCTAATGTGATACAAATATAAATGTCTTGCTCAATTACATGGAGAATCTGAGGCCTCCTGGAAGTGTAGTGGGGGGAACAGTATTTAAGTGCTTTATAGGTACATATGTGTACCTGGAAGAGAGCTAAGTGCTTTAGAATAAAATCTTTTAATTCTCCTACCTGTATTGTGTATATATTCTTCCCATTTTGCAGATGAGCAAGTTAGCTCAAATGTAGCTCAGATCATACAGCTGGGTAGTGGGACAGAGTCTGATCACTGGCTAGGCTTCTTAAATAAAGGCGGCCAGCCCTCCACATTATGTAAATCATGCCCCGAGCTGAGCACGGTGCCAGCCTTCAGGGATCCCAAATGCTGGGACCCGGCTAAGCCAGGGCTGTTGACGCAGACGGTGCATCAACAGGGTGGCTGCAGGGCTTTGTGCGGCCTGGAGTTAGGAAAGGCTTCCTCAAAAAGAGGCTATTTGAGCTGGGTCCTAAGTAAAGAGCTCTACAAGGAAGAAAGCAAGGACGGGGGAGAACATTCCAAGGATAAGGAAGATAATGAGAAAGGCCCAAAAGAATAGGTCTTAATAACGATGAGACAGTGTGGTCGAAGAGAAACGGGCCTTTGTAGCCTACCTTGTTCAGCCCAGACATGGTGCAGCCATGCGTGCACACACCCCTGCTCTCCCAGGGTGGGCACTGGGGTTGGACTTGGAGTCACAAACAGAGTGAAGCTGGTCTGCAATATGTGTTTGTAACACAAACAATGGAAACTAGTGATTTGAGGCCACAGCAAACTGTCTACAACCCAGCAGAAGCACAGACAGAGTTGGGGGTGGGGGGAGAATTTACATTATCCTAATGGGAATAGGGCATGGCCAGTGATGGACTACAGGCAGATGGCTCTTGCTGTAGTGTGGCAGATCCGCTAGCACAGGGCTGAGACAGCACTAGGATGACCACCATCTACAAAGCTGCAGCAGTAATTAGGGCACAAATGGCAGGATTCAAACTGAAGGAAACGGGAGAGGAGGGACTGGATGTGGAAATACATAAGACAAATTAATAGGACTTGGTAAATAAGTGTAGTATTGAAGGAGAGCTTTAAAGAGAGGCCTTTGGGAGATGACAGTGAAATAGGGAAAGGGGGGCAGAACACTACCCTAGAGGTATTCCCCCTCCCCCGTTTCTTCTCTTCTGTTTTTTGATAGACTTCATTTTTTTTTTTTAATATATCTTTATTTCAGAGAGAGGAAAGGGGGAGAGAGAGAGATAGAAACATCAATGATAAGAGAGTCATTGNCTTAAATAAAGGCGGCCAGCCCTCCACATTATGTAAATCATGCCCCGAGCTGAGCACGGTGCCAGCCTTCAGGGATCCCAAATGCTGGGACCCGGCTAAGCCAGGGCTGTTGACGCAGACGGTGCATCAACAGGGTGGCTGCAGGGCTTTGTGCGGCCTGGAGTTAGGAAAGGCTTCCTCAAAAAGAGGCTATTTGAGCTGGGTCCTAAGTAAAGAGCTCTACAAGGAAGAAAGCAAGGACGGGGGAGAACATTCCAAGGATAAGGAAGATAATGAGAAAGGCCCAAAAGAATAGGTCTTAATAACGATGAGACAGTGTGGTCGAAGAGAAACGGGCCTTTGTAGCCTACCTTGTTCAGCCCAGACATGGTGCAGCCATGCGTGCACACACCCCTGCTCTCCCAGGGTGGGCACTGGGGTTGGACTTGGAGTCACAAACAGAGTGAAGCTGGTCTGCAATATGTGTTTGTAACACAAACAATGGAAACTAGTGATTTGAGGCCACAGCAAACTGTCTACAACCCAGCAGAAGCACAGACAGAGTTGGGGGTGGGGGGAGAATTTACATTATCCTAATGGGAATAGGGCATGGCCAGTGATGGACTACAGGCAGATGGCTCTTGCTGTAGTGTGGCAGATCCGCTAGCACAGGGCTGAGACAGCACTAGGATGACCACCATCTACAAAGCTGCAGCAGTAATTAGGGCACAAATGGCAGGATTCAAACTGAAGGAAACGGGAGAGGAGGGACTGGATGTGGAAATACATAAGACAAATTAATAGGACTTGGTAAATAAGTGTAGTATTGAAGGAGAGCTTTAAAGAGAGGCCTTTGGGAGATGACAGTGAAATAGGGAAAGGGGGGCAGAACACTACCCTAGAGGTATTCCCCCTCCCCCGTTTCTTCTCTTCTGTTTTTTGATAGACTTCATTTTTTTTTTTTAATATATCTTTATTTCAGAGAGAGGAAAGGGGGAGAGAGAGAGATAGAAACATCAATGATAAGAGAGTCATTGATCAGCTGCAGCCCCCAACTGGGCATGTGCCCTGACCGGGAATTGAACCCCGATTGATCCTAGGTCAACGCTCAACCGCTGAGCCACACCCGACCGGGCGAGACTTCATTTTTTAGAGCAGATTTAGGTTCACAGCAAATTTGAGAAGGTAGAGATTTCCCATACGTGCCCTGCCCCCACACATGCATAGCTTCCCCCATTATCAACATCCCCCACCAGAGTGGTGCATTTATATCAGTGAACACAGTGAGACATCACTATCACCCATGAACACAGTGAGACATCACTATCACCCAAAGCCCAGTTTACACTAGCGTTCACTGTGGTGCTGTACATTCATTCTGTGCGTTTGGACTGCCCTAGGTTTCAGCAGGGGAATTTGAAGAATACCTGGGAAAAATCAGGCAAAAATATCCAGAACGCAGGTAGAAACAGAAATCTGGAGGAAGGTCAGGGCTGGAAATAAGAGATTGGCGATTCAATTATGTATATAGTAGCTGAGACTATGAAAGTGGAGTGGCACTACAGAGCAAGTGGTAAGCTGGACAGACTCCGGGCAAATATATTCCCCAGTTAAATGAAAATAATGAACAACCTGACCAAGGATAATAGTTTGTGTTTGGGAGCAAAACAACCAGTTGAGAATTAGATATTAGATGGGAATTGAGACTGCGTATGTGAGCTAATGGTATTAACTTACATCTTTATAGAAATTTTGTAATTTGAGTTGTGAAACTTTTTAACAATGATAAAAATTTGTTTTACCTGGGGTTTAAATAGACCAATAAAATAAAATCTTTTAACCATTTTTTTTTTTTAGTTCCACTTTAACATGACCTAACACCTAAACAGATCATCTAGTTCAAGGATTGAAAACTTTTTCCATGAAGGGCCACATACTAAATATTTTAGGCTTTGCAGGCCATATGGCCTCTGCCTGACTATTCAAGTCTGCCAATGTAGTGTCAAAGCCACCATAGACAATACATAAACAAACATGCATAGAGCTAGATTTGGCCTGTGGGCAGCAGTTTGCTAACCCTCTGATCTAATGCATGAGAACATTATAGTAAAAAAATAACTGACTGGTATCACATACCCTTGACTAAATTCAGACTGCCTCATTATTACATCATTTGGCAAAAATTCGAACCCAAGAGCAGTTGTCCTTGTGGGTTCATGGTCCATCAAGTAACAGTACAGTGCACCTACCGGTGTTACAGTGTACACCAAGGGCTCCAGCCCCCGGCTCCTGAGCATACCTTCCTACAGTGAGCTCTAAATAGGTACAGGCTCCATAAGGCTTTTCAGAAGTCTGATAGGGAAATAGAGGAAAGGGAAACAGAATCATCTCTGAGGCCAGAGAGTCCGATTGTATAATTAGACTAAGTACAATGCAGACTGAGGTTTAGTTTTGCACCTGAACCATAGTAACACTACCAATAAATGTTTGAAGGCAGTTAGTTGACCACTTAGCTTATGGAACTAGGCACAGCAGTTCCAGAAATGGTCTTCTTTTATATATTGACACTGTCTAAGCTGTTTAATTTTTTGACATTGTTTTCATTTTGGTTTTCAGGGGAGCCCTGGAAGCTTATGTTCAATCAGTAAGAAGTAGAGAAGGCAAAGAATTTGCACCAGTTTACCCCATAATGGTTCAACTGCTTCAAAAAGCTATGTCTACTCTTCAGTAATAATGTGAAGTATTTCTTAATCTCCATTTTGTGCTAACCCAAAGACAGCTACTATTCACTATTTTTAAAATGTAATCAACTTTTCTGTATTTCCTATTGCTTTTTCTCTCTTTAGCCCTTCTAATTAAGTAGCATAAAATGTCAAAAATCACCACCATGTTCTAACTCCAGGAACCTGATTTTTCAGAAAGACATCCAACTCTTTCTCCTTTCAGGCTTTTCTACAAGGCTAAAGTTTCTTTCCCATCACTGAGTCCCCCCTGTAGGTACCCACACATACTAAGTCCTCACTGCTTTTTAAGGTTTATGATCAAGTAACCCTGCTTCCCCCAACCAACTTTGTTCCTCACTAGATATGAAGGCCAGTGGTTTCCACATGTGGCTGCACATTATAATCAGTTGTGGAAGCTTGAAAATCCTGATATTAATTTGTACCCCATATTAACACATTTGGGGTGGGTAGGAGCCAGGCTTTTTTTTTTTTTAATGTTTTTATTGATTTCAGAGAGGGAGAGGGAGATAGAAACATCAATGAGAATCATCAATAGACTGCCTCCTGCACTCCCCCTACTGGGGGTCAAGCCCGCAACCTGAGCATTTGCCCTAACTGGGAATTGAACTGTGATGGCCAGGTTCATGGGTCGACCCTCAACCACTGAGGCACATGAGCCAGGCCAGGCATTAGTATTTTTAAAATACATCCCCAAGTATTTCAAATATGCAACAAAGTTTGGGAACCACTGGCATATCCCAAAGCATCTTTAAAGATGTAGAGCTAAATGTTGTTTAAATGTCATACTGTGTCTGTAATAAAGATAGAGCAAGGCTGTCTTTACACTTTTGTGTCATTTTATTAAAAGTAGACTTTAGGGGCTGTTAAACTTTGTAACAGAGATGCCAAATTAAAAATAAAATTTTTACTCTACAAAGATTCTATAGTAGATAATCTAGGTCTTTATTTTTCTATTGCCCTGTCCTGTTAACATTTTACTTTTAACTTAATGCTTAAAACCCCATCAGCAACTTATTTTCCATCCCCTGAACCTGTTATTCTGATGTCTCATACATAGGGTTCAGTCAAAATCAGTCAGCAGAAGTCAGCAATAAACAATTTTTTTTTTCATTTTATTTGAAATAATATACAAGAATATAGTGTGCAAAATTTAGGGGCAACATCATGAAGTGTAATGAACTGAAATCAATTTTACAGCTGTGATTCCTAACCAGAAACACCACTTGGTAAGTAACATGAAAAGCCATGATTGTAGCTCAGAGCAAAAGCAGCTGTATTGCCAATGTATTTGCTCTAATTTCAGACAGTTGGAGGAAAAGTAAAGTGCAAGTGTTGCACTGCAATAAGTGCAAGTCTGCCCCCACCATAAAGATATGATGACAAAATAAGATATTTAAGATATGTGGCTGAGGAGATACAGAACACAAAGTTTAAAAATACAATGGTATCCACTGTTAATAGCACCATTACAGTGACTATATCGCAATGCTATTAACTTGACGTTGGCCTGGGCTAGGTCTCCATTGGAAATAATGGATGGGTGCTGCCACCTGGTGCATAAACTCAGCATGCTCGGGTAACTACAGCAGGTGGCTCTTATACTGGGAGGCAAGACACCCCAGCCACCTGCCACGTGCTCTGGTAGCCTCTTGGCATTGGCCAGACTAGGAGCTCCTGTGTTTGGCACAGATGCTGAGCCATGTGGTGGTTGCTCAAAAAAAGGCCAACTCCCAGCTTCTGTTTCATTCCATTATGTGTACAATACAGATTAATAAGCAGTAAGGAGCCAATGTATAAACAGCAGTTACATATTTTTAAATTCCCCTTTTGTACAATTTAAAATAAAACATGTATACACTTCTCTCTTTCTACTGTACTTTAGCACCACAGGATATCAATTTTCAAGCCTATATTACCTGATAGACATGTGTGAAGTATGGAAGAAAAATAAGGCAATTTGGTTTACAATGTTGATAGTTTTAGCTTAATGCTCTAATGGAGAAAGCATATCCTCACTCTTATTATTAAATCATCTCAAGACTCAATGCTATCAGTATCTTATGGTCACAGGAATTCAGGACAAATGATGAGACCATGATCTTCTTAAGTCTTCCCATCAAGAGTCTATGTTTATGCAAATGCAGACTTAATGTAATCATCCCGGTTTAATGTTGCTGTGAGCCCTGTGGAGATTAAATGAAAACTCAGTGAATGTTTACAAATCAACAGACAGTAATTCTACAAATGAAAGCTAATAAGGATAATACAATGTTTTATAAGCTTATTATTTTTTTAGAATCACTTTCTCGAAGGTGGGGATTTTAAATAAGTTTGCTAATATCTGATGGCTGAAGCATTTAGAAAACTTATGAAAATGAAGGAAACGAACTAGGATGTGCAGAAAAAGGGATGTATGCAGAGCCCTACAAGGAATTCTAAGGAAATCAAGAATTTCAAAATTCCAGTTCAGCCACCCTTTAATACTGGCATCTGACCACTATTTCCTTAAAAGAAATTATTCAAGTATTTAAACAGATGTGAACTGCAAGCTACTATAAAGAAACAGACATAAACACAGCCCTCCTGCTACCAGCTGTTGTCTTCCCTTCATTTATAGATATTTCAAACTGAGCTCATACTCTTGTCGTATTACGTTTAACTAAAACCCTTAAAAGATGCTAGTCTAGTACTGGAAAAGTCCTTTAGAATCAAGTCTATCAGGGTAGCATTATTATGGTGTAAACTGTTTACTAGGTCTTCCTGGGTTTTCTATTTCTTCTCTTTCCTGGGGTTTTTACTCTAGAAATTATGTACAAATGTCAGAAGTCCCCATGAAGGTTGGGTAATGTACCCTTTACCTCCAACACTTCTATCACCCCTCACCAATTAAGAAAAAAAAAAAAAAAGGCTGTTGAGACATACCATCCCCAAGTTAGAAAAAATTCCTACTATGATGTGAGTTAATTAACACCCATTTTTCAACCTAACTAGAAATACTACATTCCAAAATTATTTTTATACCTCAATATTTCTGGAGAAGCATTCTTAAGTCTGACACTTCTACTTCCATGCTAAAAGAGTACATGACACTGAAAAGAAAGGCAGCCTGCCTTATATGATGGTGTAAGAACATTATTAGGTTTTGAAATACAATAAGGCTAAGAAACAACATCAACACAACCTTTTAAAGGTTGTAACTGCTCCAGCATGCGAGTACAATTTGGGGGGAAGAGTGAAGATGATGTTAAGCAAGTACTTGTTGAAACATACTGAATTGGTTCTTTTCCTTTTCCAACAGTCAGGATTTAAACGTTTTTGTTCCTCAGCCAAAGCCTTTGCTTCTAATGTATACATCCTTCTCTCTTCATTCTTCATTTTCTTCCACCTGTCACCAAGGATCACGCTTATGGCTCTGTAAAAAATATTTTCACAATGCTGAAGGCAAGAATTTTTCAAAAAACTCATGTCAAGTGCTGCTACTTCAGGAAGAAATATAAAAGAAAAAAAGACAAATACCTTGTCCAACACAGAGGAGGGAAAAGGTCAAGACTATAGTAGTCATTTCCAGTAAAATCTCAAGTCATATGGTCCATTTATCATAATCTTGGCAGTTAAAGCCTACCTAGAATAGTGCCAACATTCCCAATTGTCAAACGACAGCTAAAACATGGATGTTCTACAAAACTCAGATTTGAAGAAAAAAGTTAACTATTTCAGAGAAATGGTTTATATTACTATTAGATCTATCCTGGTACATTGGTTTTGAAAAGATGTTTAGGATATTAAGGTAGGCAATATTCAGTATCAGCAGCATAAAGGATTCCTCTTGTATTAAAAGCTATTTGGTGGGAACGCAGACTGGTGCAGCCACTATGGAAAACAGTATGGAGGTTCCTCAAAAAATTAAAAATGGAACTGCCTTTTGACCCAGTGATCCCACTTCTGGGAGTATATCTTAAGGAACCCGAAACACTCATCAGAAAGAACTTATGCACCCCTATGTTCATAGCAGCACAATTTACAATAGCTAAGATCTGGAAACAGCCCAAGTGCCCATCAGTAGATGAGTGGATAAAAAAGCTGTGGGACATTTACACCATGGAATACTATGCAGCTGTAAAGAGGGATCTCTTACCCTTTGGGACAGTATGGATGGACCTGGAGAATATTATGCTAAGCCAGGCAGAGGACAAAAATCACATGATCTCACTTATATGTGGAATCTAAAGAACTTAATAAACTGATGAACAAAATAGATTCAGTGACATGGAAGCAGGGATCAGACCAACGAATGTCAAGAGGGAAGGTGGAGGGGGTGTGGGTAGAGATTAAACAAAGAATTTATATGCTTATATGCATAACTCAAGGACACTGACAATAATGTGCTGAGGGCCTGGGGAGGTGGGGTGGAAGGGGTCAATGGGGAGAAAAGGGGACATCTGTAATATTTTGAACAGTAAAAAAAAAAAAGCTATTCTTTCTGTTTGTTCCCATAACATGGCAAATGATGATAAAAATATTTTTTCATTCATGCAACCACAGTGAAAAATGGAATTAACTATGCACACCTTACTGTTAACCTTCTAAGACAAGACCAAATAAACCTTAGGCAATATTTGTATTTATCACTTGGGAAAACTAGATAAAAATCAAAGGGAAAGAAGTCAAACTGATAAGACATCATGATAGAAATTTAAAGCTATTTTCTATTTATATTTGTTAATCTGCTCCCAAACCTACTAAAATAGTCTCATTCAGGAGTAGACATAAACCATTTTCCTTCTATGAAGAGCTTTTAACCATTAATTTCATGACACTCATACAAAACAAAAGGTCCTGTAATGACCGCATGAAGTATATACAAGTGATTTACAGTAACTGACAGGGAAGCTAGAGATATACATCTGAGCTTTAGAGAAATAGTAACCACAGAAACTCTACTACCTAAAAAGAAATTAAATGCAGGGCACATAAAAGAAGCAACCAATGATTGCAGAAGTGGAACAGACTGATATTTCTCTCAAATCAATAAGTAAAAATAAATTTAAAAAAACATGTAGCAAATATTTTAATCCAATAAATTGATGCAATCAAACACTGTACTGCATCTTCCTTTATTTAAATAAAACCCAGGTTTTGTCATAGGTTAAAGGTACCCCATAATGGTTGACATATTCACCAGTTAAACCAATAAATATTCAAATATGTATCAATTCCTGCCCTAGCCAATTTGGCTCTTTTGTTAGAGCGTAGGCCCTCGGACTGAAGGGTCCAGGGTTCCATTCTGGCTGAGGACACACACCTTGGCTGCAAGCTCGATCCCTGGCTTCAGTCAAGGAGAGTGCGGGAGGCAACCAATTGATGTGTCTCTCTCACATCGATGTTTCTCTCTCTGCCTCCCTCCCCCTCTCTCCCCCACTCTCTGAAAAGCAATGAAAAAATATCCTCAGGTGATGATTAAAAATAAATGAATAAATATGTACTGATTCCTAAATCAG